CATTCTTCTGCATGTTGCTGTCCAGTTCTCCCAACACCATCTGTTTAAAAGGCTGTCTTTTTTCCATTGGATATTCTTTCCTGCTTTGTCAAAGATCAGTTGGCTGTATACTTTTGGGTCCACTTCTGAGTTCTCAATTTTGTTCCATTGGTCTACGTGTCTGCACTCTCAACAATAGCTAAAACATGGAAAGAGCCTAAGTGTCCATCAACGGACGAATGGATCAAGAAGATGTGGTTTATCTATACCATGGAATACTACATGGCAATGAGAAAGAATGAAATCTGGCCATGTGTAGCAACCTGGATGGACCTTGAGGGTGTTATGCTGAGCAAAATAAGTCAGGCAGAGAAGGACAAATATCATATGTTTGCACGTATAGGAGGATTAGGAGGAACTTAACTGAGGAACAAGGGGGAGAAGAAGGGAGGAAATGGTGGGGGAGAGGGAGAGAGGCAAACCATGAGAGACTCTTGAATGCTGAGAAACAAACTGAGGACTGATGGATGTTGGGGGGAGGAGAGGATGGGCATGGAGGAGAACACTTGTGGGGATGAGCACTGGGTGTTATGTGGAAACTAATTTGGCAATAAACCGTTTGTAAAAAAAAAAAAATAGCACCAGCATTCTTCATAGAGCTAGAACAAACAATCCTAAAATTTGCATGGAACCCAAAATAGATCCCAGATAGCCCAAGCAATGTTGAAAAAGAAAACGAAAGCTGGAGATACCACAATTCCAGACTCCAAGCTGTATTACAAAGCTGTAATCATCAAGACAGTATGGTACTGGCACAAAAACAGACACATAGATTAATGGAACAGAATAGAGAACCCAGAAATGGACCCACAAATATATGGCCAACTAATTTTCAACAAAACAGGAAAGAATAGCCACACACAGAATGAACAACAATAACCAAACAATAAAACAGGACAAAGCACTGGGGGACACTTAAGACTCCTGAGCTGGTACTTATGTCTGGGGCAGGAATGCAGGGAGAAACAGGGATTTGGGGAGGTACTATAGGCTGCATAAATGCAGGTGACAGGATGGATAAAGAAACCAATTTTCAACTTCTGCCTCCCCTTCCTGTACAAACTGGAGGCAGTAGACCTCAGAGCACACATACCAGGAGCCCTGGAGTGATACCAGGAGAGAGGGAAAGATGGGATGATTGAGGCATTTGACCTGAGTCTGTGCTAATAACCACCTGAAATCGTCTTAGCAAGGAGGAATGCCCTTTCAAAAAATTATTTATTTAAATGGAATATAAAGAATTGACTGGAAATAGAATAGCGAGTATCAAGGCAAATCACACAGTAAGAGAAAGTATTCTTCATTAAGTAAGTATACACATATATAAATACATACACATATAAATGAACACGTGCATATATATGTGTCTACATGTATGTGATACATATATGCGGGTGTATATAAGCACATAAAATATACATGTTATATATATGTATATAGTAAACACACTAGGTAGTGTTGGACAATGTATTTCTTACTATGAATGAACATGACAAAGAAAAACTCACTGAACTGGACACTACAATATTAGATAACCATAAAAGTGTAGGACTATCCCCCAAGTACCCTGGAGCTGATCAGCCTCTTCAGTACATAAATCTTGAACAGAATGGTTCTGAAGACTGGGTGACTGGTTGCTGGTGAAAGGACCCCTTTCAAATGAGTACTTGTTCTCTGACAGGGCCCCAGGGTCATGGGTGCTGCCATTCCACATTAGACTCCTTTCCTGCACTGTGTGTGTCCTGCTAGTATTGATGAGGGGCTCCTTGTTGAGGACTGAGAAGTACACATGCCTCAGTCTTACTGGGGGCCATGTAAGTCTGCTGTGACCCTGCTGGCACACCCGAGAGACCAGGCCAGGACAACAGGTTGGGCATGACCCTACCAAACCATCCCTTACAGCCTAGGGGAAGACAGGGAATCTGAGAGCCTGGGTCTGAGGCACACAGACTCATGTCTAGACAACACTGGGTGCTAGCCTCTCAGAGTCAAGATGAGGATCCCGGGAAGGACAGAAGGATCCTGTCAACCCCACTCCCACACCCACCCCCGGAACCTGTCTCTGCCCGATGCTGTCAGTGCCGGGAGACCCCTGGCCATGGGGTCCGGATGTGATATCACTGATGTCCCCCAGCAGGCAAGGGTGACAGAGGTGGGGGCCTGGGTCTGGGAGGCCTGATTCAGGAAGCCGAGAGAAAAGTCCCAGGCCTGGCAGCCAGGCGTGCAAGCAGGCCCGTGAGGGAGCACAGCAGGCCCCCCCACCCCGGAATCCAGGTCAGCCCTGCCAGCAGCCCCAGGAGACCCTGGCAGGGTCATCAGGCTGAGTCTCTCTCCCAGTGGGACTAAGGGTGGTGGACTCGGGGCCCAAGAGGTACACACTAAGGCTCTTTCTGGAGCGGTGTTGCTACCCGTGGGTCAACCGCAGGGCCCACCCTGCCCGGGGGGAGAGGCCTCAGCCCCTGCAGCGGCAGCCCTAGAGTACCTGGAAAGGGCGGCCACAGGCTGCGTCCGCTCAACTGCGCCTCCGGGGTCTGAGGGAACTGAGGACCTTAGGGTGAGGGACAGGATCCCAGGGTGGGAAAGGGCAGGGGCACTGGCCGGGCCGGGGAGTCCAGGTTAGGGTCAGGGGAGGACCAAGGGACATAGGACCCCAGGAAACACAAAGGGGACCTCCCAGAGTTCGAACCCTCGTATCCTTCCAGGAACGGCCCTGGGCTGGATGGGGACTCCAGGCAGTGAGTTGAACCAGACTTCCGCAGCCGGGTCTCAGAACACCAGAGGGGGGCGGGGCGATGGGACACCTCAGGTCCACTGAGGGCAGGGCCCGGGTCCTGGGGCGATTCCTGATGAGGATGCAGAGGGAAGACAGAAGGAAACTGGACCCCACAACAGAGTCAGTCCGGACAGGTCCCTGGGTGGGATGTGGACACCAGGTCTTAGGCATCTGGGTCTCAGATAGCCGGGACTGGAGAAGCGGGGGGTGGCGGTTCGGGGTCAGATGGATAAGCTGGGGAGGACTGAGGACACGCTGTCTGTCAGGAGCAGCCGCTCAGGTGGGCAGAGGGAAGGAGGGCCCAGGTGCTGTCAGGAGACAAGGCCCACGCCAGCCCAGAGTGAGGAAGTCAGTACCTGCCACAGCCACGGGGAGCCCATGCATTGGGTGGCCAGAGGCGGCCGGCATCCCATCATTGTGCCTGGGCCGTGCATCCCAGAGATCTGGGGACCCCGGTGAGGGGCAAGAGCTCCAGTCGGCAGCGGGCATCCACACAGGCCATCCCCGGGTTGAAGGTGGCCGCCAAGGGAACACTGAGGGAAATAACCTGGCCGCCAGAGCAGAGGCCCCGGCCCGGAAGGCGGCCCCTAGTGGCAGCCTAGGGAAGCAATTTGTGAGAATGAGGCCCCACGGGGTGTTGGGACTTCCGCATCCAGGTCTCAAGGGACAGGCAGGGCCTGGGCGGCTTGGCGTCTTTTGAGCAGTGCCTCCACTCAGGGCAGAAGCGCCTCGCCTCGCGGCGGCAGCGCCTCACCTCTGATCAGCAGCGGGAAGGGTGCAGAACCTACTAGGCTTCCAGGTTTGGACCAGAGCGAGGACCGAGGGACTCAGGACACAGAGGGGAATCAGTCCGGGGGTGGGACTGGTAGAGGCTACAGGGTGGGGTGACGACAAGACGACTTGAGGGACTTGAGGCCTGTGGGAACTTCCGATCTGGGTCGGAAGTCGCCAGACTGAGAGCTTCTTGTGTGTGACGAGCAGCCTTCAGGCGGCAGATCCTGAGGCCCAGGCCGTCCAGGGACTCCAGACAGGGACGACACGATCCGGCGGAGGGATCCCAAGGAACCCATCGCAGCCCCTGCCATAAGCCGCGGGACCCCCGGACTTTGTCACCTCGTGCGACGTCCACAGCCTTCGCCCCTGCTTCTCGGGGCCCAGAGGGCCTTGCTGGCGGGTGGGGGGGGGCGGCTCAACGGGCCTGGGGACGGCGGACAGAGGCCTGCAGAGGTGCTGCGGCTCCTCCGGAGATCCCTGCGGGAGCACTGCGGGAGGCACCTTGCTTGGACTCCAGCACAGGGGCAGCCCTCTGAGAGCCGCCCCCGCGGGGGGCCCTGGGACCCCGGGGCAGGGCCTGCCGGGCTGAGCCCCTCCGCATTTCCAGTCCCCTGGTCTCAGCGAGGGGAGGCCTGGGTGTGAGGGCCTGGACCCAGGTCAGCTGAGGCAGGATGCCGGGCTCTGGTCGGGGTGGAGGTGAGAAAGCAGGAGAGGCGTCCCAGGACAGGAAACCTACCTAGGGACCAGGCCTGCCCCGCCGCTCGTGTGAGCCTCGGGGGACCCGGGCCGGGTGGGTGGAGTGCTTTTTCCTGGCGTTTTCTTCTGGGGTCATGGAGAGGAAGCCTCGGCTTAAGGAGGGTGGCCTGAGGTCCACACAGGGAGCTCTTCCCGGCCCCCCAGGGGGTCCAGTTGAAGGTTGAAGAGGGGCACCCATGCCAGCACTGGTGGAAACCAGGATGTGGCCATCCCTCCTGATGGGGGACAACCACTGTGGACCTTTGGCAGGCGTGTCCAGGGGACATAGGGGCCTGCATAGGGGAGGGGCCCAGGCCTTGCCAGGGGCCATAGCTGTCAGCAGAGAGGCCGAGTAGGGGAAGGTACAGGCAGGATTTGTTGGGGACAGCAGCGAGTCTGGCCCAGAATCTCCTGGCAGCACTAGGGGGTGTGGGGTGTGGGCCCAGGGTGGTGCTTAGAGCCTGCACCCTCCCTGAGGTGTCTCCTCCCACCTTCTTCCAGGGGCAACCAGCTCTGGAGTTGAGGCCTTGGTCTGAGGCAGGAATCCTGTGAGGTCACAGAGAAGAGAAGGTGCAGACTAGTGCCCGCCGATTGTCAAGGTGAGGTGCATGCTGTGCGTGTGGAGCCGGGGACTCACCCATCCCATCCCAGAGGGGACCCCTTGGCTCCCAACCCCAACATGGCCCTGTTCTCAGGCCTGGTACCTCAGGCTCTGTGGGCTGGGCTGCCCCCTGAGGATCCCCCTTGTCTTTCTTCAGGTTCTTACAAACATCATGCCCCTGCAGCAGAAGGGTGGGCTCTGCAAGCTTGAGGAAGAGCCAAGAGAGTCCCCGCTGCCATGGGATGCATGGCTGCTGGAGGGGGAGGATCAGGAGGGAGATGTGGAGGAGGTGGAGGAGGAAGGAGAGGTAGAGGAGGAGGGGGCAGCATCTCCATCCTCATCCTCCTCTACCTCCCTGTCTTCCTGCTCTGTCCCCATCCTGGTCCCCCAGGAGGAGAGATCTGCTGCTGCTGTGTCCCCAGGTCCTCCTCAGAGCGCTCAGAGTGTTTGTCCCTCACCCAGTGCCATGGCAGGCACTCCAGGGAGCCAGTCCAACAAGGGCACCAGCAGCCCTGAAGAGGAGGGATCGAGCACCTGTGGGACCCAGGCAGTCACTCAGGCCTCGCTCCCTGACACGCTCCGCATGCAGGTGGCTGGCCTGGTGCTCTTTCTGCTCCTCAAGTATCGCACCAAGCAGCCGACCACACAGGCGGAGATGCTGACAGTGGTCAGCCCAGATGTCCAGGACCAGTTCCCTGTGATCTTCCACCAAGCCTGCCAGTACCTGCTGCTGGTCTTTGGTGTTGACGTGAAGGAAGTGGACCCCGGCGGGCACTCCTACGTCCTGGACACCATTCTCGGCCTGACCTGTGATGGGATGCTAAGTGGTAAGCAGGGCATGCCCACGACCAGCCTCCTGGTGGTGGTCCTGGGAGTGATCCTCCTGGAGGACGACCATGCCCCTGAGGAGGAGGTGTGGAAAGAGCTGAGTCTCATGGGGGTGTGTGCCGGCAGGGAGCACATATTCTATGGGGAGCCTAGGGAGCTGCTCACCGAGGTCTGGGTGCAGGAAGGGTACCTGGAGTACCGGCAGGTGCCCGGCAGCGAGCCCGCACGCTACGAGTTCCTGTGGGGTCCCAGGGCCCACGCGGAGACCAGCAGCGTGCACGTGCTGCAGCATATCCTCATGGTCAGTCGCAGGCTGCTCGGGGCCTCCCTGTCCCCGTGTCACGAGGCTGCCAGCAATGAGGAAGAGCAGGCGTGAGCCAGAGGAGCAGCCGGGCCCTTTGCGCCCGGGTTCCAGCACCTTCCCCTGAGGGGTAGGAGGCCAGGCTCCTTCTTCCCTGTGCCTGGGAGCTGGGAGGGCACTGGGCGCTGTGAGTAGGGGAGGGCCAGGGCTGCTTGGGGGAAAATGGGACCCAGAGCATGTTTGGGTGGCTCCGTGTTTGTTCTCTGTCTATGCGACCTCGGAAATCCATCTTTGTTTCCTTGAGGAAGTTTTCAAATGTTGTTCTTGTGTCAGAAGGTTTTCAGGAGCTTCGGAGGCTCAGTGTGTGAATGGCATCCACGCCACAGTTCTTGTACTTCCCCAGTTCAAGAGTCAGAGTTTTGCCATTTGCTGCAACGAGCTGGGAACCCTTCCATCCTCGTCTGGGATCCAAAAGGGAATCGCAGTGCCTGGACTGGGCACAGGGATGTCTTGGACGTTGAACACCTTGGCAATAATGTGCCAGGGTCAGGAAAGCAAGAAATAAATGCCAGAGCCCATTTGTTCTTTCTGGCTTCTTCTCACCCCTTCTCTCCTGTGTCTTTGTGTACAAGTGACATAGCTGTGTGTGTGCCTGCATTGGCTCGACGCTTTGAGAAAGGAGGAGCCACTCCATCTGGGCACAGAGGACCCCTGCTCACAGGCTTACTGGTTGCCAGACATTTGCTGAGCTCTGCTCACTGTCAGAAGGGCCCTGTGTTAGCAGTGAGGACCCTAGGAGAGGCAGGACATGTCCCACCCATAGTGACACTGTCTAGCAGCCTAGGACCCTGTGGGAAGGGAGGGAGGGGTCTGAGAGGAGCAGAACAAGTGAGACAAGGCTGAGGGGGTGGGGCTTCAGGACCAAGCCCTGCAGTGGGGATGCCCCGCCCAAGCCAGGCTGGCCTGGGGTATCCGCTCAGTGGGATGCCTTCTGGGAAGCTGATCACAGTGAAGCTGGGAGGGAACAGTGGCCGCACTTCACTCTCTGCTTCAGTCTCTGGGATGTTGGGGAGTGACAGGCTGCATAGACTCAGCTGTGCCGAGGGCTGGGGCCTGGCCTGAGCCTGCCAGAGTCAAGGTGAGGCTCCAGAGAAGGATGGAAGGACCCGTCCACCCCCACCCCTGGAACCTGTCTCTGCCAGGTGCTGTCAAGAGCCTGGGGATCCCTAGCCACGGGGCCCAGATGTGACATCCACCAATGTCCACCTGTTAGGCAGGGTGGACAGAGGTGGGGGCCTTGGTCTGGGAGGCCTGATTAGGGCCAGCTGAGAGAAGGGCCCAGGCCCGGCAGCCCGTTGTGCACGTTGACCCGTGAGGGAGCAGAGCATGCCCCTCATCCCAGACTCCAGCTCAGCCCTGCCGGCAGCCCTGAGAGACTCTCTCCCAGTGGGGCTCAGGGCAGTGGACTTGGGGCACCAGAGCGACTTGCCCAGGCTTGTCCTGGAGCAGGTGTTGGGGCCTGATAGAGAGCCTCGGGACTTACCCCACCCCGGGAGAGGTGCTCATCCCCTCCCACAGCCCTGCGGTACCTGGAGAGGGCAGCTGCAGGCTGTGTGCTCTCAACTATACCTCGGGGGGGGGTTGAGGGAGCTGAGGAGCTTGGGGTGAGGGGCAGGATCCCAGGTCAGGTAAGGGCAGGGGCACGGGTAGGGCCAGGGAGTCCAGGTTGGGGGCAGTGGGAGGATCACGGGACTCAGGACGTCAGGACACACAGAGGAGACCTTCCTGAGTTGGAGCCCTCACATCTATCTCAGAAGGGCCAAGGGCAGGATGGGGACTCACAGGGGTGAGGAGGGTCAGACTTCCACAGCCAGGTGTAGAGACACCAAAGGGGGTCGGGGCTGGGTCGGGGCTGGTCGACAGAGGGAAGGGCTAGTGTCCTGTGGAAATTCCTGGTGATGATGCAGAGGGAGGACGGAGGAGCCTGGACCCCACAACAGTCAGTTCGAGCAGGCCCATGGCCGGGATGGGGACACTGGGCAAAACTGGATTCATGCATCCTAGTCTCAGATATGCAGGGCTTCAGAGTCGGGGGCAGGGGTGGGGGCGTTTGGGGGGTGGGGAGGACCAGGGACCCGCTGTCTATCAGGAGCAGTCGCTTAGGTGGGCAGAGGGGAGGAGGGCCCAGGTGATGTTAGGAGACAAGGCCCACCCCAGTGCCGAGTAAGGAAGCCAGTCTGTGACACAAGCCCGGGAGCCCCTGCGTCGGGTGGCCAGAGGTAGCAGGAGTCCCATCATTGTGCCTGGGCCGTACGTCCCAGAGGCCTTGGGACCCTGGTCTGACGTTACGAGCTCCAGTCAGCAATGGCCACAGGCAAAGGCCATACCCGGAGTGCAGGTGGCCGCCACAGGAACACTCGGTGGGGGGGGGGACCCTGGCCAGCAGAACAGAGACACCGGCCCAGAATATGTCCCCTAGTGGCAGCCTAGGGAAGCCCCTAGTGGGAATAAAGCCCGAGGGGTGTCTGGACTTCGGCATACGGGTCACAAGAGACTGGCAGAGCGGGGGGACTTTGGCGTCTTATGAGCAAGAACAGCACCTTGCCTCAGGTCAGCAGCGCCTCGCCTCGGGTTGGCAGTGGGAAGGCCCAAGAGCCTATTAGCCTTCAAGGTGAGGACCACAAGGGAGAGGAAGGACCCCTGGACCACAGCACGGTGTCGGCGACTGGAGGGCCCCGGGCAGGAGGAAACGGGCTGTGTCCTGACTTGGGCATTGGACTCAGAGAGTAGGCGATTGGTGAAAGGAGCAAGGAATGGACTCGACTCAAATAGATTCAGTACGACCTGACTCAACTCGGTGGTAGGCCAAGTGCAAGGCACCCAATCCGCATGGAGTTGGAGTCCAGGGAAGGACACTTGGGAGGAGGGTGAGGGGAGGGCACTAGGTCCCAGAAGTGAGTGAAAGGAATCCCGCGTCATTCCTGGGAGTTCCCAGTGTGTGGTGATGCCACTTGGCAGGTCCTGAGCCATGCAGCCAGGTCTCAGAGGGACCAGGTGGGGCGTGCGTGGAAGAAGCAAGGCTTCAGGTTGGAAAGAGCAGACTTGAGCTCATCAAGGAGTCCAGGTGAGAAGCAGTGGGAGGGCGAGGGACCTGAGACCCAGAAGGGAATCATTCCGGGGGTGGGAGTGGGGATGGAGGCCTCAGGGTGGGGTGACGAAGATGAAGTGGGCAGGTAGGGACTTTGCTCTGGGTCCAGCCACTCTGAGAGCTTGTTGTGTGTGAGGAGCAGACCTCAGGCAGCAGAGCCTGAGCCCCTGGCTGTCCAGGGATTCGGGACGGGGACGAGAAGATAGGGCTGAGGGACCCTAAGGGACCCATCTCAGTCCCTGCCATCAGCCCCTCAACCCTGGGACTCCACAGACTTTCTCAGCTCGTGTGACGTCCAAAGCCTTCACCCGTGCTTCTCAGGACCTTGAGGGCTTTGGAGGGGGGCAGCGGGCCTAGGGACACAGAGAGAGGCCTGTGGAGGTGCTGCGGCTCCACAGGAGATCCCGACTGGAGGCACTTTGGTCTCCAGCACAGACTCTCAGCCCTCTGAGAGCCGCCCCCGTGGGGGACCCAGGGGACCCGGGGCAGAGCCTGTCAGGCTGAGCTCTCCTCCTTTCCAGTCGCGGGGTCTCAGCGAGGGGAGGCCTGGGTGTGAGGGCCTGGACCCAGGTCAGCTGAGGCAGGATGCCGGGCTCTGGTCAGGGTGGGGGTGAGAAAGCAGGAGAGGCGTCCCAGTGCAGGAAACCTACCTAGGGACCAGGCCTGCCCCGCCACTCGTGTGAGCCTCGGGGGACCCAGGCTGGGTGGGTGGACTGCTTTCTCCTGATGTTTTCTTTTGGGGTCTCGGAGAGGAGGCCTTGGCTTAAGGAGGGTGACCTGAAGTCCACACAAGGAGTCTTCCAAGGCCCCCAGGGGATCCAGGTGAAGACTGAAGAGGGGCACCTATCCCAGCACGGGTGGAAGCCAGGAAGTGGTCATCCTTCCGGAGGCAGGTTGACCCCCATGGATCTTTAGCAGGCATGTCCAGATGTGCCCACTCCCCACCCCCCCCGGGACTTCCTTGTGTTCCAGTCTCAGGGCTGTGTGGTCTGGTCCTGAGACTTTTGCCTCAGGCCAGCAGAGGGGTGAAACCTAGGCCCTTCAAGGGGCCAAAACGGTCAACAGAGAGGCCAAGTAGGGGAAGGCACAGGCCGGATTTCTGGGGGACTGTACAAAGTGCACCCCAGAATCTCCTGGTAGTGCTGGCCGTGTGGGGTCGGGAGGGTGCCCAGAGTGGGCTTGCAGCCTGCACCCCCCCTCAGGTGCCCCCTCCCTCCGTCCTCCAGGGGCGACCAGCTCTGGTGTTGAGGCCTTGGTCTGAGGCAGGAGTCCTGAGGTCACAGAGCAGAGGAGGTGCAGACTGGTGCCGGCCAGCGGTCAAGGCGAGGTGCATGCTGTGGGTGTGGAGCCGAGGGCTCGCCCATCCCACACCAGAGGGGACCCCTCCACCCCCAACCCCTACGTGGCCCCCCTCTCAGGTCAGGGACCTCGGGATCTGTGGGCTGGGCTGCCCCCTGAGGAGCCCCCTCCTTTTCCTCAGGTTCTCACAAACATCATGCCCCTGCAGCAGAGGAGTGAGCACTGGACATCGGAAGAAGACCCCATAGAGTCAGAAGGTCCGGTGGATGCACATCCTTCTGGGGCTGAGGATGGGGAGGAGACCCCATCTCCCTCCGCCTCCCCCTCCTCCTCCT